GTTTTCACTCTGTCCCTGTTTGGTTTTGTTTCGTTTTTTGTTTTGTTTTGTTTTGTTTGTGGCTCTAGGCAAGTGCTCTGTCACTAATCCTGTCTTTGCTTGAAACTAGGCTGTGTCCCCTCCCAGACTAACTCTGCTTGGAAGGTTCTCAAGATGCAGTGGGGTGGGGGTGATCTCTACCCTGCAAAATAGCAGCCTGTCCCAAGAGTGGCTTCCAGGGGTGCCCAGCAGCAGGCTCTTAGGGAGCCTGGGGCACTGGTGGTGGTGGTACAGCGGGTTGAGGGACTCCACTGCCTAGAGGTAGGTAATAGACAGAGGTGGGAGTGGAGAACAAGCCCCTGGGTGCCTTGCCCCCTGTTCTAGCTAGGTATGGGGCACCTAGTTACTTTCCCAGGGATGAGCAAGGGAGCCCCTGACTAAGACTCTACTCCAAGCCAGGTGGAGACCACTGGTGGGGTCCATCAAGGGTGGCTCTGTTTCTGTGCCGTGAACCCTGTCTCTAGCCCTTCCCCCAGGCAGGACTCAGCCTGAGTTGACAGCCCCAGTGAGGCACAGGCCTTCGGCCCCACCTGGGATGGTGTCCCGGAAGAGTCAGGGCCTGTGAGCCTGTGAGCAGGTGTGCAGAGGCCACCCAACAGGCGGACATGCTCTAGATCTGTGTTAGTCCAGTTGAACTCTGGGAAATGGGCCTTTCCCATCCTGTCATGTCTCCCCTGACCCTCTGTGGCGCCTGATTGCCCACCTGTGCTGGCCCCACCTGCAGGAGTTTGAGAATGCGGAGGGAGATGAGTATGTGGCCGACTTCCTGGAGCAGGGCTCCCCGGCCGCAGCTGTGCAGAACGGCCCCGATGTGTATGTCCTGCCCCTCACTGAGGTCTCCTTGCCCATGGCCAAGCAGCCGGGTCGCTCAGGTAAGTGGACCTGTCTCCCCCGCTCCATTGTGTCTTGGGGTCAGTAGGCTGTGGAAGCCTGAGAACTTGGTTCTGGAAGTGGATGCAGTCGGGGATAGGGACACATGGGGTGTACACGGTGGGGGGCCAAGGCCTCCTTGACTGCATCTCAGGATGGGCTGGGCTGGAAGGTGCATGAACCCCCTTCTGGATCTGGGGGCCAGCTGTCAGCAGGCTTGAGAGTAGCCTTACACCTGTCACTTATCCATCGAAGGGACTGCTACACGAAGGGGCAGTGACTGGGGGCAGGTGGCCCAGTGCTCTGGGTCTAGGATTGTTTGCCCTTCTTTGCTGTTTCCAGGATACTTACCCCTGCTCCTTTATGCCTGCCCACACAGCAAAGGGAGTGTGAGCAACAGGAGGGGTCTCGTCCCACCTGGGGGCAAGTGTAGGCAGGGCTCCTGTGACTCTTTTGCCCTCCCAGAATCTTTGCTCCTAGGCTAGTTCCCCCCTCTTACAGACTCTAGAGATGACAGGTTAATAGCTGAGTTTTAGAACCCCAGCTCTGCCCTGGTCAAGGTGGTTGCTTGGCACTATGGCTGCCTCTGCAGCAGTCTGCCCTCAGGCCTTTCCAGCTTAGAAGTTTCAGCCAAGGGCTGACCCTCAATGTCCATCTGATCGCTCCAGGGATACTGCGGGGGGAGTCAAGCTTCAGGTGCTGCTGGCCCCAAGGTCTCAACCCCGGGACAGCCCTGCCAGGCTCTCAACACGATCCTTCCAACCAAGGGCCCAGCCTCCACCAAGGGCTAGGGGTCTTAGTACCTGTTTGAGCCAATGGAGACTTAGGTAGGCCCTCCATCCACCAGCCTGGCCCAAGGCTGAAGGCATGATCCGTGGTCCTTCATGGTGGAGAACTCAAAAGTGAGGATCCAGGCGTTCAAGTCCATGTCATGAACACATTTATCCCCTGACCAGAGGCCTGCAGTTATCCCCAGCACCTCACAAGAGGCAGGTAGACTTGGCCACACGGGCCTTCCCGGAGGCCTTGGGCATCGCCAAAGTGTAGAGGCTGCTAGGAGTGAGTGGGCAGTCAGGGGCTGACTGAAAGCGGCGCCATGCTGGACTGGGCCTGCCCCTGTCAGTCCAGGGACAAGGGTATAGCTGAGACCTCATAGATTCTAGCTGACCCCCACTGCTAGGAAAGAGAGGACAAGAGTGGACAGGGACCCAGGAGAGGGCAGAGGTCATGTTTTCTCCGTTGTTCAGCTCTGTTGTTTTTTGGGGGCAACGTCTTTCAAGTTGGGAGAAATTTGGAGTAAGGATGGGCTAGCCCGCCTGAGCCTTTGCCCTGCCTCTAGCTCCTAGTGTGCAATCATTCTCCTACTCCCATGGTTGCCCTGGTATCCATTGTCCGGACCCTGAACCTGCTCTGGGATCACTGAGGTCCTAGAGAGCCCCAGGGTGGAAGACAGGCATCCAGACAGACTGGGGTTCAGGGCCTAAGTCCTAGGACACAGGGCCCAGTTAAACTCTCCCATGAGTTGGGCACCAAGCCGACATTCCCTGAGTCTATTAGTCCCTGAGGGATGCCCCCTCCCCTTGGGCCCCCCCAACAGCTCTAACTCTGGCCTTCAGGGCTATCAGCGTGGGAGCAGAATTCAGGGAATCTGAGGGGGCACAATAAGCCCTGGACCTCTCCTCTCTGCCCACAATGACCCTTGTCCTCCACTGACTTCACTCAGCCTGGCCTACGGGGAGAATGAGTCCAGTGTGTCCCGTACAGGGCTGTGCCAAGCAGCCCCCAACAAAGGCGCCTTTGGTGTGATTGGTGTTTGAATGCCAGCCTGTGGCAGGGGTATGGGGGTGTGGGCTGCCCTGGTGTCTTCCCAGGGCTCAGCATCAGCTTCTTGCCTCATCTGAAGCTGCCTCCTAGGCCCTGCTGCCTGAGATTGGCTTATCCTTGTGGTCTGCCGACCCTTCCCCAGGCTCGGTCAGAAATATGCCTGGGTGCGGATTGGGATCTTTGCCTCTGCTCACAGCGGTCACCCCACAGCCTGAGAGACCCTGTCCTTTGATGGCAGCCCTCAAACGTGGCCTCCACTTTAGTGGAGCCTTCCTGGCTGGGGGACTTGGGGTAGCTCCTGGGCCCTGGAGAGCCTGGTAAGGAAGATGGAGAGGCAGCAGCGGCTATGTAGTTCCTGAGTCTCCTATCTAACACAGTGCAACTTCTCAAGTCCACGGACCTGGGCCGGCACAGCCTCCTGTACCTAAAGGAGATTGGCCACGGCTGGTTTGGGAAGGTAAGCACACCTCAGGGTGGTGGGAATAGCAAGGTGTGGGCTTGCTTCTCCCGGGTGTCTCCTGGTGAGGGCTCTTGCTTATACACACTCCTGACTGGATCACGTGCTCAAGTGTTCCTTCCTCACTGTGGACCCCGGGGAGTGAGGGAAGCGGATCCTTGAGATGGACCTGGGCTGAGTGTCCCAGCAGAGGTCTTGGTGGGCCACTGTACAACCAAACCACCGAGGCACTAGGGGCCAAAGGTCTTTCCATGGAGACTGGAAAGGGCCCCGGTGATGCCGGTCACATCTGGCAGGTGTTCTTGGGGGAGGTGCACTCGGGCGTCAGTGGCACGCAGGTGGTGGTGAAGGAACTGAAGGCCAGCGCCAGTGTGCAGGAGCAGATACAGTTCTTGGAGGAGGCACAGCCCTACAGGTGCGCAGGGGCGGTGGGGGCGGGGACCAGCACAGCGGGGAAAGCCTGGTGGTAGTGGTGAGGGGAGGGCTGTGCTGGGGCCTGGCTGTGCCCCTTCCTGCCCTCCAGCTCGGATATCTGGGGCTCTTCCAGGGCCCTGCAGCACAGCAACCTGCTTCAGTGCCTGGCCCAGTGTGCTGAGGTGACCCCCTACCTGCTGGTCATGGAGCTCTGTCCACTGGTAAGTGGCAATCTCTGGGTGGCAACGTTGGCTCTCCAGGTCGTGTTCTAACCAGTCGTCCTGAAGGGAAGTGGGAGCCTTTCTCTGAGCAGGTCTCCTCTCCTGCTCTGCCTCCTGGGACCCCTCAGCATCCCTAAAGTGGAGTCCTAGTAGTCGCCGCCCTGTGCTCTTAGAGGAGGCCTGATCAGAGAGGGTGAGCCAACACTGTGGGAGCTTGGGCGGTTCAGCATGAGGGCCAGCTGCTGGGCTCACACGGTTCCTGGATCTTCTGGGTGCTGGAGGGCTCCTTTACCTGCACAGCTCTGATCCTAAGAGACAAGGCTGCTGTTATCGGGGCCACTGTGGCAGACTTGAGACACAGGCTTTGCTGAAACTGCTGTGAACACCAGATCCAGGTTCTCTCTGGGTGGGCTGCGGGACACTGCCAGCTACAGCTAGCAGGCTGCTGTGTGCTCTCTCGCCAGGGGGACCTCAAAGGCTATCTACGGAGCTGCCGGGTGGCGGAGTCCATGGCGCCTGACCCCCGGACTTTGCAGCGCATGGCATGTGAGGTATCATGCGGGGTCTTGCACCTGCATCGTCACAACTACGTCCACAGGTGAGGCTCAGGGGACCACACAGGCCCTGGCCACAGCCCCAGGCCCCGGGTCTTGACCCTCAGACACAGGGCCTCTGTGTGAGAGAGCCGTACAGTGATCCCATTTTTGGGGCCTCATGAGCTGAGTTCGTCTACACAGCATCCAATAGCCACTTTGTAAGGAATTTTATAATTCTTAAAACTGTGCTTTAATGCCAGCACTCCAGAGCCCCAGGTAGGCAGATATCTGTGAGCTCAAGTCCATCTTGGTCTACAGAGTGTGTTTCAGAACAGCCGGGGCTGTGTAGAGAAGACCCTGCCTCAAAATAAATAAATAAAGACCGAAAAGACCAAAGTTTGGAACTCACTTTGTAGACAACTAAACAAAGACGTCCATACTGTGTCAGCCACACTTAGCCCCCACACTCAACCCCAGCCTGTTTCCCTCGTATGCTGTAAAGGGAGTGGCTGGGCTGTCCCTGCAGTGGGAGGGGTGGCTTTGCCCTGCCTCTGGCCAGGATGCCCAGCCTCCCATGAGCCGGGGGCACATTCTGGAAGAAGTGGCGATGGACGGGTGGCCCTGCCAGCCCCTGCACAGGCCGTCCTCCCCAACAACATCCTGGTGCTGAGTGATGGCACAGGTGACTCCAGCATCAGTGATTTTGTTGAAGAGGGCAGCTGCCAGCCTCCTGCCCCTTCTGCTGCCCAGCCCCAGCTGCCCCATCGTAGGCATGGGCCCAGACCACCCCACCTCGCAGCTGTCCCCTGGTATAGTCCCCCTGGGGTAGAGGCAGGCCAGGGTGGCTCCATCTTAACCTAGAGACCTGTGCAAGGCAGCAGTATGGCTGATGCAAGCCCATCCCATACCACGCTGTTCTCCGTTGCCAAGCAAGAGGATAAAAGCCAGCATCCAGGGCTGGAGAGATGGCTCAGAGGTTAAGAGCACTGACTGCTCTCCAGAGGTCCTGAGTTCAATTCCCAGCACCCACATGGTGGCTCACAACCATCTGTAATGAGATCTGGTGCCCTCTTCTGGTGTGCAGATATGCATGGAAGCAAAATGTTGTATACATAATAAGTAAATAAAATAAAATAAAAACCTTTAAAAAAAGAAAAAGCCAGCATCCCAGGCTTGCCACTGAGTTGGAGAAGTCCTGGGTGGTGCTTTGTGGTCCATCTTGTGCTATTCCTGAGCCCCAGCTCTGTGTAGAAGGTTGGGCTTACACTCTAGAGCGTGGGCTATGGCTGCCGGCAGGACCCTGTGCGACACTCATGCATTCCAACCTGAGGATTCAGGTGATGATGGTTCTGGAAGACGCACAGAACCTCGCTCTATGGCACTGGGGGGCCTGGTGGGCAGGTCAGGAAGACCGTAGAAGTTGGGGTTCTAGTGTTGGTCAAGCAGCTCCTTGCTGGGGCAGCGGGAGGGGGGGGATCTTTGAGCATCTTCTAGCCTTATCTTCACAAGAACTGCCGTGTTCAAAGTGCTGTCCACACGGGCCTTCCAAAATAACCAGTGTAGGGTGTGTCTGCCTGCCTGGCTATGCCCAGGAGCCACAGCTGGGCACCCCCAGGCTGGCATGCTTTGCTGACATTGCCTTACCACCCTGCAGTGACCTGGCCCTGAGGAATTGCCTGCTAACGGCTGACCTGACGGTGAAGGTTGGTGACTATGGCCTGTCACATTGCAAATACAGGGTGAGTGAGGGTAGGCGGAGCCCTGTGCAAGGGTGGCAGCTGACTGGAGTTAACGCCCGTCTCGTCCCTGTGTGCTGCAGGAAGACTACCTCGTGACGGCTGACCAGCTGTGGGTGCCCCTGCGCTGGATCGCACCAGAGCTGGTGGACGAGGTGCACGGCAACCTACTGGTGGTAGATCAGACCAAGACCAGCAATGTGTGGTGAGTGCAGGCCTGGCTGCTGGGAGGGCCTTGGGATGCCGCCTGCCCAGATGCCATGGTGTCAGCTGCCCTGTGGTGGGGATGCTGGCTTTCAGCTCTGCCCCCTGCTCCAACATTTCCACTTCCTTCTCTGAGTAGGGTGCGGGCTGGCACCCAGGGAAAGCGTGCTCATGCCTGCCACCATGTGGCCTTGTGAGATCACTCATGGGCCACCTAGTTGCGTGTGTTGGCGGTGGTCCCTGCACTGGTAGAGGGACTTCCTGGACAGTCAAGGGTGTGGGGTCTTCAGGACAGGACCAACTGACACTCACCGACCCTGGGCCAAAGTGCATGTTTAGGTTAGACACCCACCCTGATCTACTGTTGTAGGCCATGTGTCCTTAGGGGATGCAGGGCCTTGACTGGCCCCGGTGCTCTAGAGAGGGCAGCTGCCGCATGACGAGCTCTATTCATGGAGAGGCTGGCATGATGGCGAATGTCCAGGGGTCCTGTACAGCCGTCTCAGCCATGTCTCCTGTGGCTGCCCCTGCAGGTCTCTGGGTGTGACCATATGGGAACTCTTCGAGTTGGGCGCCCAGCCGTATCCACAGCACTCGGACCGGCAGGTGCTGGCTTACGCTGTCCGAGAGCAGCAGCTTAAGTTGCCCAAGCCCCAGCTGCAGCTCACTCTATCTGATCGCTGGTGAGGACCCCACCCCCTTGAACAGGCAGGACAAAGGGGCACAGGTGGCTGGACTCATAGCTTGGGGCTGGTTGGGCCTCCTCTACATGGCTTCTGGGTCTCTGCAGCCTGAACAGGCATGGGGGATCCCAGGGAAATAACCCACCCCAGGCCTTCCCAGGCTACTGGGTCTGCCTTGGGAGATTGCCTCAACTACCCCCAAAGTACCCTGAGCATGGGGGACCTGACTGTCCCTGGAGGGCAGGTTATACCCCTGGCCAGCATGCCTCTGGATGTGGCCAGGGCCACCCATGAGGGCCTCCCGGCAGGTACGAAGTGATGCAGTTCTGCTGGCTGCAGCCAGAGCAGAGGCCAACGGCTGAAGAGGTTCACCTCCTGCTGTCCTACCTGTGTGCCAAGGGCACCACGGAGCTGGAGGAGGAGTTTGAGCGGCGCTGGCGCTCCCTGCGGCCCGGTGGCAGCGCAGGCCTGGGTTCAGGTTCCACTGGCTCAGCCGTTGCTGCTGAGCTCACTGCGGCCTCATCTTTTCCACTGCTGGAGCAGTTCAACAGCGACGGCAGCTTTCACGTGGACAGCGATGACGTGCTGACAGTAACGGAGACAAGCCGGGGGCTCAACTTTGAATACAAATGGGAGGCTGGCTGTGGCGCTGAGGCATTCCCAGCCCCGGGGGGCGTATCTAGCCCAGACTCGGCTGCACGCCTGCAGGAGTTGTGTGCACCTGACAGCTCACCGCCAGGTGTGGTGCCAGTGCTCAGTGCCCACAGCCCCTCGGTGGGTAGCGAGTACTTCATCCGCCTAGAGGGGGCAGTGCCTGCTGCTGGCCATGATCCGGACTGTGCAGGCTGTGCTCCCTGCCCCGAAGCTGTGACTGACCAAGACAACAACTCGGAGGACAGTACCACCACTTCTCTTGTCATGGAGCCACTGCTGGGCCACGCACCCCCCACTGGGGGCCTGTGGGACCCCTGTGACCAACATTCACGCAGGAGACAAGAGCCACCCTGCCCTTCACACTCACCCTCTCCTGGGACCCCAAGGTTGCCAGCTGAAGACATAGACTGGGGTGCGGCTACCTTCTGCACACCTTTCTTTGATGACCCCTTGGGACCATCTCCCTCTGGGAGTCCTGAGGCCCAGCCATCCCCCAGTGATGAGGAGCTGGAGGAGGGGAAGGCTGGGAGGGCTGCTCAGTGTGGACACTGGGGCTCTAATGTGTCAGCCAACAATAACAGTGGCAGCCGAGACCCAGAATCCTGGGATCCTGGCTATGTGAGCAGCTTCACAGACAGTTATAGGGACGACTGCTCCAGCCTAGAGCAGACCCCACGGGCCTCCCCTGAGCTGGGCTACCCCCTGTCCCAGGAGGATCCCAGAGAATTTCTGCCTGGGATAGTTGCAGCCTCCCCTGGTCAGGAGCGAAGCCGCTGCTTCAGCCTGCTCCCTCTGTGTCCTGCCAAAGGCCTGGCACCTGCTGCCTGCCTGGCCATACACCCCTGGACCGAGGCAGCTGTAGGTGGGGGTGACAACCTCCAGGTGGAACCCAAACTTGCCCAGGAGGCTGAGGGCTCTCCTGAATCCCAGCTATCCCTTCCTTCTGTCCCCTCCCCCTCCCGTGAAGGAGCCTCTCTTCCTTCGGAGGAGGCGGAGGAGGCATGCGCCCCCGACAACCTGCCTGCCTCTCCTACACCGGCTGCTGGAAGCTGGGTCACTGCCCCTAAGCCAGCCCTCACTCTGGACAGCTGCAGCGGTTCTCTGGAGCAAGGGGCTCCCAGCAGTGAGGATGAGGACACCACTGAGGCTACCTCAGGAGTCTTCACCGACCTGTCCAGTGATGGCCCTCACACTGAGAAGCCAGGCACAGTACCAGCCGTACGCTGTCTGCAGAAGCAGGTGGGGACCCCTGACTCCCTGGATTCCCTGGACATCCCGTCCTCAGCCAGTGATGGTGGCTGTGAGGTCTTGAGCCCATTGGCTGCTGGTCCCCCTGCTGGGCAGCCCCGTGCCATGGACAGTGGCTACGAAACAGAGAACTACGAGTCCCCAGAGTTTGTGCTCAAAGAGGCCCACGATTCAAACGAGCCTGAGGCCTTTGGGGAGCTAGCCTCAGAGGGTGAGAGCCCAGGGCCCGAGACTTTGCTCTCTGTCTCCCTTGGTGGCCTCAGCAAGAAGAACCCCTATCGAGACTCTGCCTACTTCTCGGACCTGGACGCTGAGTCTGAACCCACCTTTGGCCCTGAAAAGGGCAGTGGAGTTCAGGCCTCCCAAGAGGAGAAAGACATGAAGAGCCCTCCTAGTTCAGGGCATCCGTCTGTGCAGGCTTTCCCTGGGCCTGAGGTGCCCAGGGAGGCCCCAGACACCAGCCCCAGGGAGGTGTTGTCCCCACCACAGCAGTCAGAGCCCTTGCCAGATGGCTCCAGGCCAGAGCCTCTTGGGGCTCAAGGCCCAGTCCAGGTGCCTGGCCCTAGTCATTCCAAACGTTTCCTGTTGACCTCAGTCCCACTGAGCTCAGAAGGTGATGGCATGGAGCCCCAGGGCCTCCCAGGCCAGTTGTCAGGGCCAGCCCAGCTTGGGCAAATGGGAAGCCCTTCCACACCCAGATCCCCCCTCTGCCTGGCCCTGCCTGGCCACCCTGGGGCTTTGGAGGGCCGGCCTTTGGACGATGAGGACAGTGAGGACAGCGACGAGTCTGATGAGGAGCTTCGATGCTACAGCATCCAGGAGCCCAGTGAGGACAGCGAGGAGGAGCCACCAGCGGTGCCTGTGGTAGTGGCTGAGAGCCAGAGTGCCCGAAATCTTCGTAGCTTGCTGAAGATGCCCAGCCTTCTGTCCGAGACCTTCTGTGAGGACCTGGAGCGCAAGAAGAAGGCTGTGTCCTTCTTTGATGATGTCACGGTCTACCTCTTTGACCAGGTGAGCTGTGGCGATGGTTATGCACAGGCCTGGGGGGGCGGGGTGAGCAGCGAGTCACACTGTGCTCTGTCCCTCCAGGAGAGCCCCACCCGAGAGACTGGGGAGCCCTTCCCCAGCACAAAGGAATCACTCCCCACCTTCCTGGAGGGTAGCCCCGGCTCACCCAGTGCCCCTGGCCTGCCA